ATTCAATTTCACATAGATTTGCTTTCCTCAACTCTACTCATGTCATTGTGGGAAAATTCTACTACCATTCATTCATCACCTTAAACGAAATCGGGTGAATACATCTCATACTACTGATTTACTGGTAGTCTCGACACTATACTTACATATGCTAATACTATCTCATCTTATCTCATTGGTATCAGTTTGGCCATTGAACATGGCGTCCTTCAGCTAACCATGCCTGCTGTGAGTGGCGCACAGCCAAAATGCTCATTTAGCCTCAACCCTTCTCCTACCCGGTTGTGTTGAGAGAGCATAACAAAGATAATCGCCCCAGTAACACCCCTCTTCGAGTCGCTTCGCCGAGTTCAGTTGCTTGCCTGAGCAATAGTTGCTCACAAATACAAATAAAAGAGTTATAACAGCCCAGTAAAGAGGGATCATACTGTCCTTAAACTCCGTCTATCTATCTATTGCTATAGTTACACCACCAGAAAGTATACATATAGCTATCTATATGCTCCCCTGTCGCCAGATTGCTCTGAGTGGGAATTCTACAATTTTCATATCTAAAATGATTGAATAATATTAATGTAATCCTTAAGGAGGATGTTATACTTATTTTATGCTTCTTGTGAATGACGATATCTCAAAAGTATCTGGTTAAGGGCCCTCAAAGTCGGTTATCGCCACTCTGGGTGCCCCGAAGGAGAGACCAAGACAAGAAGTGCTCACCTTTACAGACTTAACTGTGGTACCATTCATCAAATAAAACCATTCATAGGGGACTCCTTTCTTTCGCGCCTCTAGCAGCTCGTCAGGATTCTGCGGCGGTACCTCGTAATCGTGCGCTAAAATGTATGAAGGGATGAGATTGCTGGCAAATGACGCGATCAAGAAGAAGGCGCAGAGCCAAGTGAAAAGGTGCAACACACGCAACGCCTCTGAGAAGCGAGTTGAATGCTGCGTGTGTGAGGCATAAAACAAGAAATAAGTACACAACACGTCCGTCAGACTGGCACAAAAAGGCATGATAAAAAAAGATAAAGGTTGCATTTTTAAAGAAAGCCTTTTCAAAAAGAAATATCATAAATAATACGTGAATTCTGAACATGCTTCAATCAACACTCGTGTCTTCTTCAAATTCTTATAACAAAACCTTGAATACTTTTTTCTATGACGGCCAGCATGTTTTGGCCTCCATTTTGGTCACAGATACATGATTTTAACACGAGAATAAGACGAAAATGTTATAAAACAGAATAAATGGCTCATTTTCAAAATCATATTCATTTACTATCCACTTTGTATCGCTGGTTATGAGAATATGCGCTTAACGCAAAATTTCTGCTGTAATTTATACTACTGGCAACTCAACAGTAGTGTATTTTATTAAACGAGTCGAATTTGAGTTGACGCCACAGATGCCAATATTTCCTGTATATTAAAAGTCCATTGATAACGGTAAAGACAGCAAGGGCAATGCAAACGAAGCTATATGAGTTATTTTCACCCGATATAATTTAAGGTGATGAATAACTGATAGTTGAATTTTCCCACATTTAACGAAATAGAGTGAAAACAACTCATATGTCTGATTTACGGGTAGTCTCGAAGGCCTACTCACTCACGAACAAAACACGCAACTTAAGGCCAATGTCAATTGAGGCGTTTCTTGGGTGAAAGTTGAGCCCAGAGCCTATTTTGCATGGTACGAAGAGTAATTGGGGTTGGATGAATCTACTGGGACAACATTATTGATGAGGATTTCATTTCGTATGAAAATGCATGAAGAAGAGATTCGAACGTCGATCTTATCAGAAGAGGACGCATGCTCCTCGTGGCACTGCAACCGTTTAGGTTTAATACGACTTTCAGGTTGACGCATTCCACGGGACATGCTCCCTCGTTTCGGGTGAAAAGGGGCGGAGCTTTCAGCCATCATATGATGGACATCATCAGAGCTGGAATTCATTATTGTGAAATAGAAATTGGGTTTCGAAGAATTCCTTAATGAAATATTGTGGCATGATTCTCCATTTCGAAGGGAAAGTTGGTTGGACGGAATTCACCGGAAACAGAAGGAGGATTGCCGCGTAGGGAGGAGGACTGTGGTGCAAGTTTTGTGTGATTATGCTTCAAAACTGGAGTGACTTCTACCAGTCCTTCATCACCTTAAAGGAAATAGCGTGAATACATCTCATATTAGTGACTTCGCTTGTGACTTTCCAACACCCTCAGCGGGAGTCGAACCGTGACAGTGCAGCATGTGATTTTGACACGAGTGCCCTCGGCTCACAGGGCGGATGTCTCTGGTGGGATTGCCAATGAAGCAAACGTAATTTTGCTATTACAATCGACTAAATTACTTATTTTTTGTATGTTAGTAGAGTTTCGAGACTGCCAGTAGATCAGTAAATCACCCTGTTTCATTTAAGCTGACGAAGGACTGGCAGTAGTCACTCAAGCTTCGAGGCATAATCACACAAAACATGAGTAATATTGAAGATGGTGTGGCCTCCGGTATGGTCGCAGTCTCCTTTCGATTTATAAAAGTGGGTTTAACTCGTTGTCGCAACTTGTTCTTGTTGTCAGGGCGACTTAGTAGAACGCACCTAGTCCGAAGTCGTCTACCATAGCAGTTGTCATAATTCCCAGCATCAGACAGTGGAAATGGTACATTCTCAGACGTTTCGACGGCATCGTAGTCGGCATCATCCGTGAGCGCTGCCATTCTCCACGCCAAGCTACGAACTCGTCAAAGAGATAAGTGAAGTCTATCCTTCCTACTACGTCTTGTCAAAAAACGTCGTCACGACAACGAGTTCAACCCACTTCTGTGAGTAATATTGTCCAATTAAGTATTTTTTTTCGTGACTACTAGTAAATCAGTTATAAGATGTATTCACCCAAA